TCCCTCATTTCAGTTCTTCATTTCCAGTTCTAACCTCTTCCTAACTGAAGCCTCTGTTCCACTTCACAGGGAGACCTCTCAGAGATCTCTCTGAGACTTCATGTCTGTATTAAAAGGTGGAGATGTCTATGTGTCCCGAGTTGGAAATCTAATTTTTTGTTTTTGGTAATACTGTTAGACACAATAGTCTATAGCACTATGCAGTGTTTGTGACTAGTAATCAATGTTACACTTTTAGGGCAACTGTAGTATGTGAGTTGTTGGTTAAAATGGAAACTTCCATATGTGAGATTACTTCTCTATGAGATGTTTTAAGTTCTAAATAACAGACTTATAAAACTGTACAACTCATTTAAAAGTCAGAAAATTACAATATTGTCAGTATAATTCAATAATGCCACTATAATTATACATTTACTTTATTATATAAGTGGATGCCAATCTGCTATGTTATTATGCAGATTTAGAAAATTGAACTTTCTAGATTAGTTAAATCGAGAGCACTTGCAGAAGATAATTAGTGGCTATAATTATAGCAATGTATCAAAATATATCATTAGTATTCACCTGGTATTACCGTAGCTGCTATAGTGCAAATGTGTAATAACAATAATATATTTAATGTCAACTTTTAGACACTTATTATAACATAGAATATTTTGAAATTCTTTGATCACTAAGGGAGCTTAATTTTTAACCACCTAAAACTAATATTTCACTCTATGCTTCCCTAATTCAGCATTTAACATTTGCCTTTGTCCAGAACAGACATGCATTCACTACTAGGATTACCAAAACTTTCTAAAAAGCCCATTAAGTTGTGTATGAATTTCTGAAAAAAGATCTGTTTTGTTCACTTAATACATGATTTCGTTTCCATACAGTACTAGTCAATTATTCAATTCAGTGCTGTGAAATGTAAATTCCAGGTGACATATCATATAGATGTAACAAACATATAAGAAAAGTTACAGAAAATAGTAAATAATTATCCTTTCATTCTAAGTATTTATTTATTTATTTATTTACTGGAGAGATTTTCACTATAGACCATGTGCACTCACCAGAAAGACACAGAGAGACAGTGAGACAGAAAGTGAGAAATCCCCCCCCCGCCCCCAGGGAGATAGCCACACCACACTCCCTTCTCCTCCATTCTCTTCTCAGGATATTGGGCAAGGACATGTGCCAGGCATAAGGTTTAAGCCGCTGGGTCCAGGACTTGAACTGCGGTTGACCATGTGGGAGTCCAGCGCCTTAACCACTATGCCATGTGCTGGCTCAACAATTGTCATTTTAAAGCAGATAGACTGACAAATACAGAACTGATCAGGAGGACATTTTTATTTTATTTTTTAAATTATTATTCTTACTTTTTAATAACATTTGATCGCTATACATCATTTGGCTTACAAAGAGAATTTCCCCAACCTGAAATACATCACCAGTCCAGTTGAGAGACTATACATATTATCATCAATAGATAATAAATCACTTCTGTGTCTCACAAAGGTCTTGCCTCTATTTCTTCTCCCCAATTTCCTTCTCTATATTCTTCCCTTCTCCCACTGTCCTTCCACGCTGTCTCCAGTGTCCATAACTATTTTCACTGTTTTTATGAGGAGGGCATTTTTCCATCTTCACTAATAACTGACACTTTCAGAGGTTGTTACAACATACTGAACAGGTATTTTCACATATACCTGTTTATACAGAGAAATATGCCTAGCTTAGCAAACAAACTGATGACTATGAATTAAAATATGGCTTCAAATCATACTACCTAACCCCCTAAACCCTTCTCAAATTTAAGTTACAGGCAGTTTTTATCTATAGTAGAAATTATCACGTTGGCAGAATAAATCTATTCAGAAAACCTTCCACTAATTAAATATTCTGAAAAGCCACAGAAAGGTCAGCATGCAGAACTACACTATCTTAACTTAAATTAAAACAAAAAGCCAGAAGCAATTCATCATTTTCTGAGACACTCTTCCTCATTCTTCACTTTCCAAACTTTATCCCCACTTTCTCTTCTACCACTTCCCCTAAAAAAACAAACAAACAAACAAACAAAACAAAC